GCGTCCAAGCCGGAAGCGGACTTATTTCAAACTGAGCACGGAAAAATTTTGTAAGTTTCATTACAAGTAGAGTGACTTCAGACATAATAAATGCAAGAGACATAAGAAGAAAAGAAATCCAAAGGAAAAGTAAATAACCGAGTGAGCAGCGTAACCCACCTCAAATTTAGTCTTTGCTCTAACATGAAAATCCCAAGTAATACTAAATTTCGCATTTCTCCATGATGATGAAAACTGTTGTGTTATAGCAGAGATCAATTCTCCTCCAATGGCTTGCTGAAACAACCAAGGAACTAAGAGAGTAAGACTTTCAGCTGAAACGCCTTCAAACCATCAAAGCCTCACCAATCGCGTATGCTGGTTCACTAAAAGACTATGTATCAATTCGAAAAGCTCTTCCTGGTCACCAGTTTTCTCATCGATAATGCCGCGTTTGAGAATCATCGCGACAGAGCGGAGAAACTCCTGTTTGTGCATAATTTGATAAGCTAGAAAGAAAGTTTTTTAGCCAGGCAAAAAAGGTTGCGAGCTGCCAAAAAACAAAAAAGCAATAAGAACTATCGAAAAGTTGATGTGTATCAGCAAACATGCACCCTATTTTCTGGGGTCTCAGGCCTATCTATTCGTAGCGCTAGAGAGACGCTCAACAACGGCGCGAAGTGTCTCTGAACCCAGTAACTGCTCCATGGTCTTTTTTTTGCACACTCTAGCCGCACAAATGGTTTCAAAAACTTTTTATCAAATACAGATCAGGCTGAGTTGGGCTTGGGCGGGCATTAAATCGCAGTCCACAAGCTTGTACCAGCCACTTTGTGAAAACATTCAAAATTCTGTTCCGAATGTAACGCAGGGTAGTAAAGTAGTAAGTCAGAACGCACCATTTCGCAGTTTTACAGGAGTTTACAAGCTTCATCGGAGCTTGACATGTAAGTTAGGACGAACATGTAAGAGGAACTAGCAAAAAGTGCAAAATGCCCCTCCCAAGCCAAACAGCGCACGAAGATTATTTACTTAGGAACAAACAAAAATGCGCAAAAGCGATGCCAGTAGAGCCATTCGCGGCATTCGAGGCGAAGATGCCTTCTATTTCCGACCGCGCGCCCAGAAAATACGGTGGATGAGATCGGAGACTACACTTGTAAAGCCAGTATGAATTCAGAACCAAATTTGACCGTTATTGGTAACTCAGAGCAGCTCACTATAATGGCCAAATATTACTCAAGCAAACAATGGTAACCAAATATATGTTGTTTACGGGTATCCCTGACCCTTGCCTATGGGATAATAGAAGCCGTGAGGTATGGACTCGCGCCAAGCATCAAATCTCTAGTGGGTCAATTTTGACTTTCCTCGAACCTATGACTTTAGCTGCCTTTTTCTGCTACAGCGAGATACGAAACTTGGAATTTTATGAAGAAAAGACTGCTGGGGGATACGCATCTGGTCATGCTCATACTTTTCGACTTCACAGACTGAGTACTGGGAGAAAGCGCGAAAAGTTCCTTTTCGCGCATTCCCTTAGAACGCAAATTCTTTCGAGCCGCAAAGTACGAACACAGCCTTAGGAGGGCGAAACAACACGATATCCAAAAAGAAAACACTTAACCTTATACATAAAAAGAAAGTAAGATGACTCACTCTTCTCTTTGCGCGACAAACTCCAACAGCATTTTATACGTGTGGATGATCTGTTCCTTCGATAGCAATACCCAGTCACGTAATACAATTTCTCCAGTCATTTGTGCTATTTGAAAGAGCACACATTGATTCTTCGTGTTCTCTGTTATGTATCAAACGTTACTTCAGTGACGGGAGGAAAATCAATATATTACCCAGGTAAGAGTCCAGAAAATTCTTCCAAGAATGGCCTGGAAATCAAAACATGAATGTGCACCTACGTATTACTTGTCCTGCAGTCTCAATTGTAAGTTCCTGTTTGATATTGTGAAACAACTGCTCAGCTTCACGCCGACTTTCCGCTGATACGAGGTTCGGCGGACCCTGCAGTAATCACGTTTCTGTGGAAAACGATGCAGTTCAAAGTGGACAAACCCCTATTCAAAGCCCCGTCTCCTGAGCAACTCTTCAAGGTAAAAAAGGTTAGCCCCTAAAATCAAGCAGAACGGGAAGTAAATAAAACACTAACCAGGAGAGTCTCCGCAGCTCTCTCGATGACACAAATGTCCATGATTATGACGAATGCTCGCGGATAATCAATTTACAACGTCCAAAAGTGTCTAACGCATCCCCTACGGGAGTAGTGGTAATGTTTGTCTAAACGTCACACAATCTCTTCAGTGTAATATTCGTGAAAGAAACGAGTGAGAAAAATTTACGCGAGAGAGATTTTCCATCCACAAAAATGTCCGCTCTGGTTTTTCTACCTCAAATAGGTTTTTACAGGGTTATCCACATAAAGTGCGACGCAAAAAAGTAGTCACAGTTCGTTCTATTGTGTGCCAAACAAGTTTTTATAGTGAAAATTTTCCATCTGCCCGATGTTTGTCAGAGATCGCCTTCCGCACCAAAGGCCAGAAAGGGCAACGACAAGCATTTTCATGTAACTTATTTCGCTTAAAAGTAGTTAGCACGATAAATCCCTAAGACAAGTAGGATTAATACTTCCGGCAGGACGAATTCCGCGCACCTAAGAAGGCGCTGCGTAGCACCTTTCTCAACGAAGGTACCCTTATAAGGCGCTAAGGCGCGGCAAGCTGCAACACACCGACCAGAACGCCCCCGCGCCCGCTGGCTAATGCCGTTTGGACTCCAGCAATTTCGGCACCGAGCTCATTTTTAAATTGCCTAAGTCACCAAATCCGCTAAAAACTTGTATATAGGGGTAGTTTAACATCCTGATTACGAATATGACATTCACTCTTGCCGCTGGCGCTAATGGATGACACTACGATTATCTGCGCTCTGCTAAGGCTGAGCCCAAGAGGTAATCGTAGTGTCATCCCTGGCGCCAGCGCCAAGAATGAGTGTCATAATTGTAATCACGATGGTAAATAACCCTTGTGTACATGTTTTCAGCGGGTTTGGTGACTTATAAAAATGAGCTCGGTGCCGAAATTGCTGGAGTCCAAACGGCATTAGCCGCGCCCGCTCGCCAACATTCTAATGATGCTCGTAATGCTTCATTTGCGAAGTAAACTATGAAGCGAAAGGATTGCTATGGAGCTGCATGCTACATGGATATATGAGTACATACGTGCAACCGTACCTACCCAATAGAGCAAACGAAGCTTAGCGATCGCGCAATGACTGCGATAAAGTGGGAATGCGTGGGCACGATCGCAGAATTTTGTGTTGGAAGAGAGGATGGTATGTGCCTTTCTAGTGTTTATGAAGTTTTTGATACCGCATCCTCCTCCCTTATCTCGAGTTTTAAGCTCGGGAAAAGTTGCAGGAAGTGGGAGTATAATGAAGGTAGTAGATAAGGATGGAGATAACGCAGGAGGTCGTACTGTAGGAGGAGATAATG